AGTGTTGAAAAGATCTCTCACAAGTGAGGGCAGCGAACGAGTAAGAGATTTTCAACACGAGAAGATAAATTTCGTATCTCCAAGCGGCCATGTAATATTCTGTTTATTATATAATTATCAATTAAGTATGTTTTGGCTTCTTCGGGCAATTCTTTCCGTGTATTTTTGAATAGCCATCGCAATGGTGTTATTTTCACACGTGAAAATAACATGTTATTTTCACGTGTGAAGATATCAATTTTTGAAAAATAGATATTTCATTGGTAATTATATAATAAATATAGTTATGTGGACGAAAGAAAAAGAAAATATATACATATAGGAACAAAAAAATATAAAGGAACGATTACAATAGTGCAAGTAATATAGGTGGCGTAAATTTGTATTAAGGTATAACAGTTAAAAGTGAGAAGATTATATTAATCTTTTCGGGGCGATGACGCAAAACCAGTCACAGATAGCTTGCAGAGAATGGACCCTGCATACAGCTATTTCGGTTTTGGAGGGTCGGTGTCCACTGGTAGAACGAAGCTTGGGATTGGATAAAATAACAAAAACAAGGAAAGCATGGATTATGGTGAACAAAGTGTATTGTTCTACATGTGAGCTGCGTTCTTTGTTTTACCTCACCATTCATTTTTTGTTCATCCACTCCCAGGCTTCAGTAAGCGATATTCAGCATTCAACCTTTTTTTAAAAATACCTGTATACACTCAATTGAAGAATCGTTGTCGGGTTCAGAAACATAGAACATAAAAGCTGAGATCGAAATGGCACATGGGAAATGACATAACATATTCATTTGCGCCATCCATGCAGTCGGTTTAGAATTCCAAACGCGTATTAAAAACAGTGGATGATGCCACGGGTCGCCGGTCACAGCGTGCATCTAATGAACGTACTTCCAATGTGCCATTTTGGTCTCAGCTTCTATGTTCTATGTTTCTGAACCCGACAATGATTCTTCAATTGAGTGTATGATACAATTGCAATGTGATACAATATGCAACCTCTGGCTTGTTCTTCACTACTGTCAAGGCACTCAGAGCTTTAATTAATTCACATATCAAACCTCTAAATGACCCCTATGTTTTTAATCTAAGTCAGGGCACAGCTTAAACTTACAGAAAAAAGAAATTAGTGGTACAATGTGATTGTTATTGTGAAGAGCCTGAAGAAATAACAACTTGAACTCTAAGAGTCATTTATTTTTGGGAAATGATTTGGATTTGGTAATCAGAGATTCTGATATAATTGTCCCTTAATGATCCCTACGCCAATGCAATCTTCAGAAGTTTTTTTTTTTTGTCAAAAGAGAAAATCAAAGGTAACCCATGCCATGGTACGAGATAAGGTATTCTTCGTTACGCGCTATTTTCGTAACTCGATTCTAAAAGTGGACCAATATTTTTTCGAGTTTATTTGAAAGACAAAAAGAATTTACTTCTCAATAAATTAACGGAATTAAAATTAAAATTAACACATCAAATCAAATAAAAAATTTCCTTGCGGGCGGACTAAAAAATGATACAGGTAGGCAGCGATCGTGCTGTTTATAGACTAGAAATAACCGGACTGTTTTATAGTTTTATGGTTTTAACGGTTTTATA